ATCTACAACAGGGAACTGCTGCTTTTTCTTTCCTAATCCTTACTATCGTCATTTACCCTCAACTTCTTTTGTATGTTTGTCACTCTTGTGACCCGCTATTTCCGGGGTGCCTTGATAGTCGAAACAGGCTTTGTTCTGTTGAGGCTAGGGAGGTGAGCAGAGTAAGCCTGATTCCCTGTAAGGATTTCTCTGTTGACATCCACCCTTTGGCGCTCATATGACCTTATGCAGTTGCGAGCGCCGTAAAACCTCTACTACTAAAATAAAACTGTTGAGCTCCCCCGTTGTTTGTCCCCAGGAGAATGTACTGAGGGAGTTCCAGCTGAACGACGTCTACCACGAGTGTAAGAAGGCGCTCTCGGCCAGGAAGAAAGACAAGGCACAGGACAAGAAGGAGCAGTGATCTCAGACGCGTTATATGTCTAGTTTTATATATATATAGTTGTCTGACTTTGTATGAAAACTTAATCAAGGATCTTCGGGAGTGACTGTTGAGTGTGGGTCGTGGGTTACACAAGGTCGTGGGTCAAGGGTGACACAAGGTCGTGGGTCATGGGTCATGGGTGACACAAGGTCGTGGGTCATGGGTGACACAAGGTCGTGGGTCATGGGTGACACAAGGTCATGGGTCAAGGGTGACACAAGGTCATGGGTCAAGGGTGACACAAGGTCGTGGGTCAAGGGTGACACAAGGTCATGGGTCAAGGGTGACACAAGGTCATGGGTCATGGGTGACACAAGGTCGTGGGTCATGGGTGACACAAGGTCGTGGGTCATGGGTGACACAAGGTCGTGGGTCAAGGGTGACACAAGGTCGTGGGTCAAGGGTGACACAATACTCTGGTTTTGTATGTCATGGTGCTGCAGAACTTTTTTTTTTGCTGGATTTTTATGATTGGAGGTATTAAATGTGTTCAAATTTTGAATGTTGAGTCGTAGTTGTGTACGTGTTTCTCAAATGTGTGTGAATGTCAGGTAAACAAGAGGTTATAGCGGGTGTTGATGGCCTAGGCTCCACTGGGAGTTAGGAAGGGCAAGAGAGAGAGAGATACTGAGTGTTGATGGCCTAGGCTCCACTGGGAGTTAGGAAGGGCAAGAGAGAGAGAGAGAGAGAGAGATACTGAGTGTTGATGGCCTAGGCTCCACTGGGAGTTAGGAAGGGCAAGAGAGAGAGACAGAGATACTGGGGGTTTTTTTTTCATGATTGTTTTCTGTTTTCCTACCTTGTGTTTTTGTAGGAAGTCATTTTTTAAAAATTGCCGTCATCAAAATGTTGGTCATTACAATGCTGTATCATTAGTGGCTACAACCCTTTGTTGCTGACACTGTCCTATAGGCACTATGTGTGTTTTGTCGTGAGCACAAATTTTAGTTAAACGACATGATCTGGAGTGACATTTTCTCACTGTCCGTCTGCTTTGATCGTCCACTTTGTGTTCTCAATGTCGTAGTGTTGTGGTCTCCACCTGGGTAGTGCTTGGGGTGATAATGAAGGAATTCTTGACAAAATGATTATAATAGTTACTTCCCTTGTAGGGTTGGGTCGATTTAAATCAGTTGATTTTTAAAATTTAAATCAACTTGATTTTTAAAATTAAAAGCAGTGATTTAAATCACTTTAAAATAAAAAATATTTTTATTCAGTTTTTACATATTTAAACATTCAGAATGCCTTTCCTTGGTTTTATAAAATAAATATAAGGTTTAGTAGACTAATATAATCATGCTTAAAAGTCTGCTTTTCCCCCTGTCACTGTAAAATACAATATTCAATTTACTTATTTTTTTCATTATAATTGAAATAAGCATTTTTTTTTTAGACAAACTCAAGTGCGCACACACATCTAGATTTATTAAATGTAAACACTTAATAATTTATTGAATGTCAGATCAAATCAATTGTGACAGAGGAGAATAAAGACATTCACAAATAAATCACAAACAATGTAACAGAAATAATAATTCAGATATATTGCAAGGAACAAAATGGCCACTGAAGGAATTTTGAAAATAAATCACTTTCCTACAACATTATCAGTATTACAATAACCAACAATTTAGATCATGTTGAAATTACCCGTTGTGTTGTTTGGAGTTGAAGAAACCCAATAATACAGTACAGTATTACAATAACCAACAATTTAGATCATGTTGAAATTACCCGTTGAGTTGTTTGGAGTTGCAGGTTTGGAAAAGAAACACAATACAATATTCAATTTACTTTTTTTTCATAAAATTGAAATTAGCATTTTCTTTTTTTTTAAAAGACAAACACAAGCACGCACTCACACACACACACTAATAAAATGCAAGTTTATCTATGCATAATTACCCGTCCTTCCTTTGAGACTGACATTTTCTTCTTTTTTTTGTCTGTAGCCATGAATAATTCCCTGATATATATATATATATATATATATATATATATATATATATATATATATATATATATATATATATATAGCAGATTAAGGCTTTCTTTTGCTGTTGCTTAAATTAATCATTAGTTAAAATAAAGACAATGCATTTTGCACTAAAAGAACATACTTTTAGCCACTAAAAATTCCAAACTGTGTCTACATAAAAAAAAAATCAAAACTATTTTAAAAATCTGATTTAAATTGAAAAAAATCGATTTTTAAAATTTTTATTAAACATTTTTAAAAAATCACCAACTCTGTTCCCTGAAGAGTGTACAGAATCCATGTACTTGATAGTTTGATCTGATCTTGTGTCCTTGGGAAAGACACT